CACCGTCATTAACTGCGCGGTTGCCAGCTGCTTCCTGCGTTCCCTCGCAAACCTTCCCAGGCTCCTCAGTTGATGTTCAACCTCCATGTGGAAGTACAGGGCAGGAAAAGAGCCGGTTGGGGAAAAAAAACAGAGCTAAAGGCCGGGATCAGCCCAACCTCGGCGAGAGACGCTGGAGGGGGGCCGGCCCGGGGGGGGGGGGCCCCGCAAGGGGGGGGGGGGGGGGGGGGGGGGCGTGGCCCATTCCACTCCTTTGTGCTCCACGGCTCGCTCGCGCCCCTGCCGGCTGCCACCGTCGCGCCGTCTCAGGGCCCTTGTGTCAACCTGGAGTTGTGCAGAGCTGGGGTCAGGTGGGAAGTTGCCGGTCGCGGGTGGACGTGGGAAAGACGCGAAAGCCCAGACTGAGATTTATGCCCGAGGGAACCCGGGAGTTGAGCAGCTCCCACCAGAACACTGTCTTGTCCTGGTGACAGGGATCCTCCACAGCTGTCGGCCCCGAAAGTCCTTGCTTCCCACATTCTCCTGTTCAGAAGCTGGTCTGTTGGACTTTGGGAATTAGCTCTGCCGGGCATGGCTTTGGGTGAGACGTATGCCCTCTCTGGGCCTCAATTGCCACATAATGTAAAGCAAGGGCAAGGGTGAGCAAGATGATCGTTTGCCCTGTCCCTGGCGCGTTTTGTGGGTCTGAGTGTGTCAAACCAGGACATGCTAGGAGGAGGATCCAGTATCATAGCAGTTCATTCCTGACTTACCCTAAAGTCTCTCTCCGTGAATTGCTAAGGTGCATATCTTCTGTCTTTTCTTGTGACACCTTAAAAACAAACAAGGAAAAACCCTCAGCACAGTGTAGGGGTTTGCACTTAGCTTTGTTGCATTCATCTGGAAGGTAAACTTAATTTTCCATAGTTTGCCAAGAAGTGATTTCTTAGTATGCTGTCTCATGTGTCTCATCCCCTCTGAACTTTATGTCCTCTTTGAGTTGGATCATTGAGTCTTAACTGTGATTACATTCCAGGAAGTACTGATCAGTAGGACACCACCCCTCCAAACGTCACTCTTCCTCAGTACCACTTACCCCAAGAATTAAACTGCAGTGTTTAGTTGCTGAAGTCTGTATGAATTTCTCCCTGCCTGGTGATTGTTTCTCATGAGTGTCCTGAAGACCCCGGTGGTAGGAGATGGGTCTCCAAAGTGGCTGTTGTGAGAGGAGCAGAGTATTTACCATAAGTTGCTTGGACCAAGCTCTGGGCTTGGTTAGGAAGCCCAGTTAGGAAGATAGGGAGTCACTCTGGAGCTTCACCTAGTGGAGCGCAGAATGAGAAGCAGACACAAAACAACTTAATACACTCTTAATTCAGTGCAATCTTTGCTAGCTAGGGCTTACTAATGTGTGGAGAAGCCCACATCAGACAAGTTGTAAGGTCTAGGTGATGTTAAGTAAGTGGGGTCTTCCAGGGGAAGTAGGACCTAACAGAGAAAAATGAGCAAGGCCCCCATTTCCCCTTGCAGAGTGTAGCAGACACTAAACAGATAGGTTTGGGAGTAGAGGTTGGGTTTGCTGAAGCTATCTCTACCCTAGATTCCAATAAGGAACTACTGTGCAAGCTTGGCAGCCTCTGTAGTTTTAGCAATTTTCTTCTTGTGTTTTATAGGGGAGGCACACGGTCCAAAGCCCTTTTACTTTCCAAGGATGGGCAAATCCTGGCAGAAGCAGATGGACTGAGCACAAACCACTGGGTAAAAAGCCATCCTGAGGGGACCAGAGTGTTGAGGTGGTGGCTGGGTCTCTTAGCAGCTGGTAGGGACCATACAGGTCCTGTAAGCCTTTTTTTAAACTCCTCCTTCTCTGTTGGGGCCAGCTGATTGGTACAGACAAGTGTGTGGAGAGGATCAACGAGATGGTGAACACAGCCAAACAGAAGGCTGGAGTGGATCCTCTGGTACCCCTTCGAAGCCTGGTGAGTCCTCTGGAGCTGAGGCCATCAACAGTGCTGAAGCAGGTGGCCAGTGGGATTAGATGAGCTTGATGACCAGAGGAAAAGGGTTCTAGGGCCAGGGCCCTCAATCTTGTCTATTCTTGTGGTATCAAGGGTCATCTGTAAGCTGAGAATGTTTTTTTAAGAGCATGGGGCTCCAGAGACTCATTGGTATCTTGATTTGAATTTCAGCTTTTCTACTCAGTAGAGTATCCCTTAAGTCAGTTACCTTCTCTCAGCCTCGGTTTCCTCATTTTGCAAATACAGATACTAAGAGTTGTTGGAAAAATGAGATAATATGATATATTCCGAAATGGTCAGCACTCTATAGCCTGGAGGACTCTTTAAATGTTAGCTCGTCTTCCTCCCAGGATTCTGTGATTCTGGCTATTTCCCAGATATGCAAGGGGTATGTACAGGCACAGCCAGACCCCATGGATGTCAAGCCAAGCTGCTTTCTCCATAACTCCTCACCTTACTCCTTTGCCTATATCTTTCTGTCCTCCGTCCTTTCCTAGGCCAGGCTATTCCTGTAGGCATGAACTTCTAAGGGCTTACTGTGGGTGGAGGGGCTAGATTGGATGAGCAGGGTATGGCCAGATGGGTGTCAGGAGGAGAAGGGTTAAGAAAAAGCTCATCTGGGACTGCTCCCTCCTTAATTTGCTCAGCATGTTCCTCTCCCTTGTGGCCTAGGGCCTGTCCCTGAGTGGTGGGGAGCAGGAGGAAGCATTGAGGCTCCTGATAGAGGAGTTGAGGGGCCGATTTCCCTACCTGAGTGAAAGTTACGTAATCACCACTGATGCAGCAGGTTCCATCGCCACAGCTACACCGGATGGTGAGAATGTGAAGGAAGGAGTGGAGTTGAGAATGAGCTTTCTTATGGAGAAAGCCCCTTACCTATAACTGGCAAAACTTCTCTTACAAATATCTGGAAGGCAGCCACTCTTATTCTCTCCCAATTGTCCTTTCCTGGGCATATTAATACCCTTATTAGACCAGGGATCAGGGAACAGAAGAGGAAGGAAGGCAGGATAAGTGTCTGTGTGGGAAGTGAGGGGTAGACTCTATGGGAACAGAAACTGGATGTATTGAGGAGAAAGTGTGGGACTCTGTGGGTAAGAGTCTCACCAGGCATGTCAGTGAACACCTCTCCTCCAGTTCTCAGGTGACAGAGGCAGGCAATTGCTACAAGTTCAAGGCCAGCCTGTTGTACATAAATAAGTCCTAAGTCAGCCAGGACTACCTTATGAGACCATCTCAAAAATGAAACTGGCCTAGGCTGGTTTGACAGCCCTATCATCTTTGTGAAGTTGTGGAAGGGTTTTACTTTTGTAGAAGTGGAGTTAGCTGTCATGTATGATTTAGGGTGCTGATGGTCACTGTAAGAACAGGGTCTGCCATAGTGTCTGGCTTTAGGTACTCAGTAAAGCCAAGATCATTTGAAGTCTGGCTGGCAGGGAGCCATGTTCCCTTGAAGAGATGCAGACTTGTGTTCTTCCTCCATCCCCTACACAGGAAGTAGGCTGTTTGCTCTGGGAGGTTGGGTGGCGATCCCTCTCCCGGTGGGGCTGGTTTCTCTTCTTTCACAGTGGGAAGCTGCTGGTCTATGTAGGTCGTTGGCCACAATGAGCCCCAATGCCTTCTCCCTAGGTGGGATTGTCCTCATCGCTGGGACAGGCTCCAACTGTAGGCTGGTCAACCCTGATGGCTCCGAGAGTGGCGCTGGTGGCTGGGGCCATATGCTAGGAGATGAGGGCTCAGGTAAGCACACACAGGGCTTGGACATACCATTCCTGTGACTCCTCTCCCTTTTCTTGCCCTCTTGGTCCCTAAACCTAAACAGGTGTCCCTAAATATCTCCTAACCCTGTTTCAGAGTATAGGGTAGTGCTGGGAGAATCACAGTTACTATCTTGCTTCTTAGTAGTCTCTCATGCTGAGAGTTCAGTTTATGGCATGGTGGTACAGCATACCCCTGTTGACTTTTGGAGACCTAAGGGAAGGATTCAACTGGAAGGTTAAGACCATAACTGTCCAGAGACTCTGTGCCAGTGGGAAAGAGGTCTGGAATCACTTCCCACTGACACTATTGGGGCACCATGTATATATTTCTTTGGTGTGCTTTTGGGTCTAGCTCATGCTGTAACTGCAGCTATGTGTGACAGCTCACTATCCTTGTCTTTGAATGAGAGCCAGTATGACAAGTTTAACTACTCAGTCTTCCCACCAGCTTTCCCTTGTCTGAATTTGTCAGATAATTTGATTAAAAGCCTCCCTCCCTACTGGGAACCACTGATTGACTGATCACTGACTTCTAACTGGTCTTGGGCTTGGGAGTCCTTCTTGGTGAAAAGATGGGCTCTGTGATTGGCTGTCTTCTTTGCCCTCTGTTCCTGGAAGCCTTCTGGATTTCACACAAAGCTGTGAAAATCGTATTTGACTCCATCGACAACTTGGAGGCAGCTCCTCATGATATTGGCTATGTCAAGCAGGCCATGTTCAACTATTTCCAGGTACTGCCTACCCCACAGTCATGTACACCTAGTGTAGAGCACTGGGGCATCCATGGGAGAGGCTGCAGAAGAAGGGGATAGGGATATCCTGGTGGATGAGAAGAGCAAGGTAGAGACGTGGTAGGTAGGTAAGGACAGGGTTCAGAGTAGTGTGCAGTGTGTTCCGACCAGTGTGTTTTCACTTCCTCTTAGGAATTTTTGCATTTTTACAGACATTTAAGCAAAGCCAAATAAGACATATATTAAACACTTAGTAATATTTCTGTTGATGCTCACATTTACCCCCCTCACCCTCACTAAAATGTATTCTAGAGGATCTCTGTATTCTTGGGGATTCAGAAGGGTGATTGATGTGTTAAATTGTTGGTGGGGGAGGAAGACAGTTTGAGAGATGAATCCATTTCTTGGTTGCAGCACTTCTCAGAATGTTTGGTCTGCTACTGTGAGTAGGGACTGTAGGGGACTGCTCTTTAACTGAAGCAGTCTTTTCAAGAGTTCAATGAATTTGATCTTGAGGAAAACAAAACTGCTCAAATGATAAATCTCAAATTCCTATAATTTTTAAAGTGTAAAAGAAAAGTTCCAAAATATTTTGGTCATTCCAATAGACACACTGGGAAGGCCACTCTGGGTGACAAGACTAGGGATTTTTTGTGTCTACTGACTGTGTCTCCTCTTGTGTTCCTCAGGTGCCAGATCGGCTAGGAATCCTCACCCACCTGTATAGGGACTTTGATAAATCCAAGTTTGCTGGGTTTTGCCAGAAAATCGCAGAAGGTACTATAGGTGCTGGCTCATGTGTAGCTTGATCCCCTAAAAACATGTCTAATGGGAGGGTGGTGCATGATTAAGGCTGGCCCTTTGTGCTGGTGGCTGTCTTATCAAGTAACCTGGAGTCTGTTGCTTAACTTGGTGTAGTGGATAGGGTGAAAGTGGGACCAGACAGCATTGGATTGCCTGAGCTTTTCTCCCTACTGGTCATGTGGCTGGTGCAATCTGCAGGCCTTGAGAACTTGAAGTAGTGTCCGTTGGGCAAATTCATAGAAGCAGGGATTGGAAAGTTCAGACAGCTTGTGTTGGCTTTGGGAGGAGCCTGCATTGTCACACCTGGTCTTTTCACTCTGAGGTCTGTTCCTCTTTTAACTTGGATTCCTTAGCCCCAGGGCACCCTACAGGTGTTTATCTCAGGACTTAAAACACCAGCCAGGACGGGGCTGGCCAGCAGCACACTGATGATCACCAACAGGAAGGTCCCTCCTCCACAGGGCTAATAGACCCATGGGGACAGACACAGTTTAATAGTTCACTGGAGTCTAGTCCTACTGCTCTGGTGGGGTGGGGGAGGATCTTCTCAAAGCACTGGAAGGGGAGGTACCTGGAATGGTAGAAGGCTTGCTTTACCAGTGTGGGCATCCATCCTAACACTGACTTGGCCTGAGCTTGCTGTTTTACCTAAGAGAAAGAGGGGCTAGAGTAGAGTAGGCTGCTTCCTGTATTCTCCAGCCCCTTCTTCCTCTGTGCCCCAGGTGCACAGCAGGGAGACCCCCTTTCCCGGTACATCTTCAAGAAGGCTGGGGAGATGCTGGGCAAACACATCGTGGCAGTTTTGCCAGAGATTGACCCGGTGAGTTGAGGCAAGACATGAAGGTGGGTGGCAGCTGGATGAGGTCTGGCCCTTGGCCTAGGTAGTAAGACTGCCCCATCAAACTCTATGTGCTCTGATGCCTCTGAATCTGTGGAGACTGGCTTCATGTGGTGCTGTCTGTCCTATAGGCTCTGTCTTCCTACTCAACATCTTTCTATTTGAACATTTCTTTCCTCTTCTCTCCCTCACTTTCATGACTTCTGTTTTCCTCCTTGGCCCCCACCCCTACCCCCCCTTTTTTTTCTTGAGTCCACCTTTAGTTTTCCCACTAGAAGGAGAGTGTCTTGGACACAAATTGGTCTGAGGAAACATCCCTGAGGCTTTGGCAAGGTTTAGAGTTAGGGTCAGTCTAAAGTGTCCATTTTCTTTCTTCTTCCCAGGTCTTGTTCCAAGGGGAGCTTGGCCTCCCCATTCTGTGTGTGGGCTCAGTGTGGAAGAGCTGGGAGCTGTTGAAGGAAGGTGAGTCTGGGTGGGCAGGTGTGGGTGAAGACAAAGGATACAGCTGAAAAGGAGGGTGAAGTAGGGCCCTTTATTCTGTTCATCCAGCCTGTGACCCCCCTCCTAGGGTGTGTGCTTACTAAACCTGTGCTCTACTGCAGAGCTGTATAGCTCCAGCTCTTGAGCTGGTGAAAGATGTTCTATTCCAAATGACCTATTAATCACTTTGTAAGATTTGTTTACTTTTATGTTGTGTAGGTATTTTTGCCAGCATGTATGTATGTCTGTGCACCATGGGTGTGCAGTGCCCAAGGAGGGTAGAAGAGGGTGTCAGAACTGGAGTTAAAGATATTGTGAGCCACCATGTGGGTGCTGGGTACTGAATAGAGGTCCTCAGAAGAGCAGCAAATGCCCTTAATGACTGAGCCATCTCTCCATCTTCTTAAGAGCTCAGACCAGTGTGATAACCGGTGATAGCACACTTAGTCATCATTCTGGCAAGAAGAAACTTAGCATGGCAGCTACAGTTCAGCCAGTTGCAGGGTTTTCATTAGACTCTCTGAAACAGCTCAAGGGTTCTACTAGATTCTTGCATGCTCTAGAGTTGAGGAGTATGGGTTCCCTTGGGTTACTGGTTCCAGGACCCATAGCATCCTGGTACCTGTGTGCTTAGCATGTGGTCTCTAGCATCTCCACTAAAGCCCCAGATGCTGATCTCTTTTCTGTGTTTTTCACTCCAGGCTTTCTCCTGGCATTGACCCAGGGCCGAGAGCTGCAGGCCCAGAACTCCTTATCCCGCTTCACCCTGCTTAAACTACGGCAGTCTGCTGCACTGGGGGGTGCCAGCCTGGGAGCCAAGCACATTGGATACCACCTTCCCTTGGACTACAGCATCAATGCTGTTGCCTTCTATTCCTATACCTTCGATACCCCTCCCCCATCCTGCTGACAAATGGAAGAAAATAAATGCACTTTACCCCATCCCCAGCAGGATGGTATCCTCAACACATTGCTGTGCATGTCTCAGCACTTACAGCAGGTCAGTCTAGCAGGTTCAGGGTTTAAAGATACACTCCAGGTGCTTGCTCTGGTTTACAGCACCCACCAGGCTTTTAAGCATATAATGGCACTCCGCTTCCCATTTCCACACCATGTGCTGTGGCTTCCAGGAGTTACAATTTCTTATGATGGAACCAAGTTGTACAATGCCCACTTCCTGGGGAATGACCCAAGATCTAATATACCCTCTCAGAAAGTTCGAAGTAGAATTTGGGAGACAGTATAATCCCAGTCTCAATTTTGACTTAACCTTGGATTTGGTAGCTGTAGGTACACAAGGCACTTTGTCTGAATGAATCCTTACAGGTCAAGTTGGCACTGCTTAACTCAGTGCAGTGACCTGCCTGCTCCTCACCTGACTCTGGTTATAGTGGGACACTTCTCTCTCAGACTTTTATAGCTATGCTGCTGCTGCCAGTCCTGGAGGGAGGATCTATCTTCTGGAGCTAATCCTCCCAGTTAATATTCTGAATTGTCCAGAGGCACCATCATTCCCAGTATCAGTTGGCAACTAAGATTAGCCAGGTCTGGATGTGTAACAATGATAGTATTTTAACCTGTGGGTTCTGTTTTCCCCCTCTCCAACTACTGCAGTGTACTTGTCCATATATGTGGAAGAAGGGAGCCAGGTTTAGCCAGGAAGGTGCTACCTCAGCAAGTGCAACTATTCTCGTTTGTTGAGTTTTTAAACAGATGCCATTTGATTTGTAGAGCAAAATTTTTAAGTAATTTTCCCCATTTTTGGTGTTTTCAGGAAAATTGTTTTTAGAGTTTTGTTGTTAATTTTATGTTTGGGTGTTCTGTCTGCATTTATGTACACTGAGTATATGTGTGTGCCAGAAAAAAAATCAGATCCTGTCTGGGACTGGAGTTTCAGATGGCTGTAAGCCTCAATGTGGGTACTGGGAATTGAATCAGGAGCAGCCATGCTCTTAATTGCTAAGCCATCTCTCCAGCTTGTTCTTTTATTTTAAAAGCCTATGATCAACAAGTTTTTAAACATTTGCAATAGGAACAAGAGTCTAGAATCTGGACCTAGGTTTACTGGAGGACAGCCTGGGCAGTATTAGGCTGTTTTTCTCCACTGGCTCCTCCATCTCTACTTGGCCCTGTTTCCTCCTGTGTGTATCTCCACCACCTCAAGAGTCCAACAGAATTAGTACAACTCTCCACAGACATGACTAGAAAGTTACAGTCTTCAGCACTGATTCTGAATGGAACCCTAGAGTAGTTTCATTTCCTGTTCACTTGTGCTCATTATTAAATGGCCCTCAGATGCTTCAAAGGTCCTGATCTACAGTAGACAGTACAATGTTTCATGTACCAATTTCATGAGAAATTGAGGATCACAGGAATCTGCAGGGTTCAGGCTCCTAAGACATACAGCTCTCAAGTCCTGTGAACAGAGGACTTGCCAAAGTAGAGGTGGAAAGCCAGTGGAGCTGAGGAGGCTGAAACCTGAGCTTAAGGGGCTCTCTGACAAATGCAGCATACTCTTCAACAGGAAACTGCTCAATATTGAAAGAACACCTCAGAAAAAAAAAGTGCCAAATCAATTAATTACAGTGTTTGACTCCAGAAAAGGTGCATTAGCCACACCAGGGCCTGGGGACCAGCATATCAAAGAGCTTACCGGGAGAAACGAATGAGGTGGTTGTGTTCCAGCACTAAAGACTATGACACTTAAACCCAGTGAGTTTCATGATCTATATACATCATTAGTGAACTGCCCCAGCTCAAAGCTGTTTTGATTTAGGGGCCTTGTTTCCACTTTTCAAGTGCTAGTTTATTTTTATTAACTTATTTATAGATAGTCTTATTTATGTAGACCTTGCTAGTATGAACTCTGTGTTGGCCTCAAACTAGAGATCTACCTGTCCCTGCCCCTGCCTCTTCCCAAGTCCTGGGATTAAAGATGAGTACTTGCTGCTAAATATTTTTGAAGGCTCACAATTGGCAGGACAAAATTTTCTTTGTGTTTATAGAGTGAAACATGTTACTACTTTACAAGAAAGGCATTTTATAGCCAAGGGATGTAGTTTGCTGTTGGAACACTTTCCCAGCATGCATGAAATCTTCTCCCAGCACTGAAAACAATTTAGTAACAGTACACTATTAAGATAATTAGGACAGCCAGGTGGTCCACATTATAATCTCAGCACTGGAGAAGCTTAGGCAACAGGATCAGAGGTTCAAGTTTAGTCTAAACCACTGAGCAACACTGACTCAAAAGATACTTTTAATATCCTTACCCAGAGGTAAGGATAGCCTCAGTGGTAGAATGCTGCCTAGCTGTATGAGGTTCTGAGTTTGATCCCAAGAACTGCCAAAACAACAACAAAAAATTCTTTATAGTATTAAGTAACCTGGAATGTTTATTAGTTTTAAAATATAGTAAGGTAAATTTGGGGAGAGAAACTCAGCAAATTTTTCATTTAAATTATACTTTAGCAACAAAAATGTAGGAAGGTTTTTACATAAAAAAAACAAAACAAAACAAAACAAAAAACCATCCTTTGAATTTCTTCCTGTTTCCCCAAGAGCAGGAAAGGAAATGTGGCTTCTAAGCTTCACATCTTGAAGAAGTGTCTTGAAGTGTCTTATGTTCTAGTCCCAGCTCCCAGGAAAAAGAAACTTCTGGGGTCCAGGAGTGTGATGGTGATGAGGGCAGGCCATATGCAGTCTAATGTTTCCCTGGGCAGATTCCTGCTCTGTTCCCATCACTACCAGCAGCTTCTTGGAAGATTGAACATGGGAAAAATAATCCCGCTTCTTCCAGATTGTGTATGTGTAAGTCTGGTGGGCATCATCCATGTGGCAGAATGGACGTTGGGAGGCGTTGACATCCACTGCACTGAGCTATACCAGGACTGACCAATTGTGGATGGGATCACTTGATCCCTGCTTCACACATCAGCATCCTTTCTGCTCTCCCTACTTGACAAAATTAATGCCTCCCACCCCTGCTCTTCCAGAGGAGAGTGGCTGGGATAAGCTTTTCCACCAAGTGGGTACCTCCAACTTCTAGTCAAATTTGTTAGACCTGTGAGTTCCTATCCTTGACATCTATAAACCTAAACTAATAGCATGTAATACCAAGACTTGTATTGCAGAGGCCTGTCCCCTATAGCAATGGGGGACAAATTCAGGAAGCCAGGCAATGCTCATCTACCACAGCCCCAATCAAGAGGTTCACTCTGTCCCCCTTTCCCAGCTCACTCATTGAAGACGCTGACTCAAAGAGCTGTTTACCTGCATCTTAGTCTGTCTAAAGTCAAAACAAAACCTTGATATAACAATAATATGGAGAATACTTAGTACTTCACTAGAAACATTTATTTTTAAGCCATGGTTAGCCTTATAATCTTAACGAACCAATCATAGCTCTTGTAATTGTAGAAATAGGGGTGCTACTAAGACCCAGGCTGGCACAGGCCTGGAATGCAGCTTGGTGTAGTGCTTGCATAGCACATGTGAGGTCCTGGATCCAATCTTTAGACTATTTTTCTAGCTTGCTTATAACCAAAAGTCAGGTACATACAGATAGAAACTGGCCCCAGGCCCTCAGCTACCATACCCAGGCTTTGGCTACCTCCACAATTTCTTATGCAGTCCAAAATGCCTGAAGAGATCCATGTTTCCATCCCCTCTCACACACACAAAAGAAAAGTTATAGAGTCAAATAATCACAATTGAACTCAGTCACAAATAAATGAAGACTGGGGCCAGCCAGACAAGTAACTATTAATAACATTTTCTATTGCTATACAAATTCTCAAGGGGAAACACACACACACACACACACACACAAAACCTCCAAAACTCTTCTGCTGAGTTGGCAAACTCTAAGGCTAAGTGTAGTCTGGGGCACAATTATACTACCTCACAACATTGGATAATTGAAGAGTTGGGCCATAGGAATAAGTCATTTTACACATTACTAAGGACCACCTCACTGGCTATATCCTAAGCCTGGAGTCATCGTGTTGCCTCTGAGATGGACCCAACACACTAGCACTTGTTTCCAAGTACACTGACAGTATTTTAATAGTATTAACCAAATGTACCCTTAAAACCAAGCCAGAGACTGATATCCAAGTAAAATGAGCCAGCACAGCAGGAGGGGAGATAGGCCTCTTGGATCACACCTAGAAGTTTGGCTTCCAAAGGGCAAAACTTTAGGATGGAACAAAACCTCCTCAGGGCTTCCCAGCCAGGTACTTAGAGGAGGATGCACTATATGCAGGCGGAGATTCTCAACTATCTTCGTGCAATCCTGATACATTCTGAACTCTAACAGCCTTATGGAGGCTGTAGCATGCCCTACCCATACCCTTCTCCTTATTAGAAGTGGCAAGCCAAACTACAAGCAGGAATAAATTCCTCTCAGAGGACTAGGAGTTCCATTCTCTTGAGGGAGAGGCTCTGGAAGTCAATGTGTATCTGGCAGTACAAGTTCTCTAAGCTACTCACTATGATGTGACCTAAGAGGGAAGGCCACTTTCACAAGATGCCATCCTATGAGACTTTAACAGGAAAAAACAGGGAACTTTGTGTTTAACTGCTGGGGCTGTCTACAAGTCAACAAGGGAGAGTTGAGAACAGCTCAAGGACAGGACTAACATGGCACAAGTGAAACCCTGGGTTCCATCCCTGGCACCAAGACAAAATGAAAAGTGAGAAAATCAGTTCATGAAAAAGGGAAAACGTTTCAACTTTCCAGACTCCAGTCCTTTCTTCCAGTCTCTGCTCACATCCACATGCTGAACTGCCAGACTGGAAGCTACATGATCTTTCCAGACCTAATACAGCACAGTGACAACCCCACAGATGCCACAGCACTCTCAGGCCTCTCCAAATCCCTTGTCCTTGGAGTATGAAAAGGACAGGACACTCGTTCTTTCACCCTCAACACTAACACCTTCACCTCTACTCACAACAGCAGATCCATGGAATTCAGTTCCACAGAGTAGCAATAAAACCAAGACTGCACCTAGCCAGGCCCATGAGGAAACAGAAGTCATTTACAGCTTCACGGAGCTTAGTTGTATTCTCAGGCAGGATCCTTCAGCAGCTTAGTTTCTGGGAATCACTCGCTAAGGCAGGAGAAGCACCCAAACTGAACTAAGCAGCTTGCTAGTGTTTGGAAAAAAGTATTTTCTTGGAAAAAAAAATACAGAAATCTTTGAAGGAATTAAGACACTGTAAGAGACAGATATTGATGGGACAAGGAAAACAAAACCAAAACTGTCCAAAAAGATTCAAGACACAACTATCCCAATGAAAGGCCCATCTCAGGTTTTGGGTAGCAGTGTCTTTTAGAGCTGTGAGGGAAAGAAGCCAGGAGTAGCCCCCATGAGGATCACGAAGGCAAAGCAACCCTTTACTGGTAAATGATGAATGGTAGTAGCTACACACGTATGCTCAACAGCAGGCCAGCAGCAACTAAATGACAGTCACTATCAAGCCCTGCTCTTGTGATGTACAACTTGCTTCCATCCAAAGTTTTATTCATCCAAGAACTTTCAAATCTGTGTTTTCTTGAGTAGAGTTCAGGCCAGGAGACAAGGGCTTTGTGGGCTACTGGTACTTCAGTTCATCATGGAAATGTCAGGGGTTGGGGAGCTGAGTGTTGCAGCTGGTTTACATCTCCTGTTTTTCCTTCTTACCACCCAGCTGCAAACTTCTTAAGCTTTCCAGATGCCCTGCTCTCGGTAGGTACACAGCAGGGAAGATTATTTCTTAAATACTGTTTTCCTTGGTCATCTTATTTTGCTTGAATGCAGACAGAACATACCTTACAAGGGAAAAACAGCTGCAGTTCCTTAACTCCAAAGAGATCATCAAAAATAAAATAAAAGGGGAAACTGCTCTGAACAAATCAGCAGAACAGAAGAGCCATGCTCAGAGGGCTTGGAGAGTAGTACCTCGCACATTAGTTACTCAGAGTCACAGTATCCAGTTAAACCACCTTCCCAACCCAACCCGCCTGGCTGCACACCCCTGCCACCCCCCTTCAGCTCTGCCTTTTTGTACATTGCTGGCCCCAGGTACGGGGACAAGACAAGTCCTTCTGGAAGCTTCCAACAGCTCAGTACTTCACTCCTGGAATAAACTCCTTGGCATCTGGATTCAGGTTACTTTTGCTCTGAAATAAGAAATCAAGAGAAAACATATCTCAAAGCAAGCTGTACTTTTATTGTGTTTTTCATAATTAAAAAAATTAATTTAGTTAGCATACAAGATAATGAGTTTCACTATAACATTTTATACATATGCATTACACTGACTTTGCTGATACCTGCCTCTTATCTCTCCCCACACCAATGGTCATCTTTCTGCTTTCATGTCATATTATACTTTAAAACTTATTTCCAGGCTGGGGATGTAGCTCATTGGTTGAATACTTGCCTAGCATGTACAAGGTTCAAATCCCTAGCCCTGCAGAGAGATGAAAGTACAGGGAAAGAGAGGGGAAGAGGGACAGGGAGAAAAACATCAAATCATTTAAACTTTGTTTTTGCAGTTCTGATACACGATAAGTAAGTGTTCCACAACTAAGCCACACCCAGTACCCTTCCTGGTAAGCCTCAGGGAAAGGGAGATTCTTAATACCCCAGGCTGTCACTGAGTAAGAGGCTCCTCCCTCCTGCTTCCCACTCCACTTCCGGATATTCCCTTGAATGTATGAATGATATTCATTCCAAAACAGCACTTCAAGCCATGAAACAGATCAACACGGTGAAAAACAATATTCCATGCAGACACTTTGGACACCAGAACCTCTACTTTTTTTTATCTATCTGTGCCCCTTCGTGCTCTTGTCTTGGCTCACTAGTCTGTCAGGAGTGTGTTCCTCCTAATAGGAACAGTTTTCCTAGCAGATCCAGAATACATTAGATACAGATAGTGAAAGAGAAAGGCAATTATCAAGTGGTCTACTGAAGCCCAACTTAGACTTTTAATCTTATCTCAGTGCAGAGCATAAGGGTAATTGAAGGATGATGATTACAGTTTCATAGAGCTGGGGGCCATTTAAAGGATGAACACATGGCAGCTGAGAGGTTCCAGAGATTTGATGTAGGATGTAGGGCCATAGAGGCATCTATGACTGCAAACAACATATTCCTTTCAGGATGTCACATGTGGAATTACTGAAGGCTCTTACCAAAATGTCTTCAGATTCATGACTGTCGCTGACTGACAATCCATTTAACTGCTGCTGTAAGTGTCCCATAGTCTGAGGCAGGTCTCGTGCTGGAATGAACCAGTCCTGGTCCTCTTCATCCAGCATCTCCTGGAAGCAGCGGTCCAAGAAGTCTTGCTCTTGCAGCTCTTCCTCCACCTGCCAACAGAGGAAGAACATTCAAAGGATAATCCCTCTGGGGTCCCCAGCCCTTCCCTTTAGAGGTCCTCATTCTACAACTCAGAACCATGGGCAGGAGAGCTAATGATGCCTCTAATGACTATTGTGGTTTAAATGAAAAGTGTCCCCAATAATTGGCTCATGTTTCTAAATACTTGGTCCTTAGTTGGTGATGTTGTTTAGAGACATTACAGAACCTTTATGAGGTAGAGCCCTGATGAAGAAAGTATGTTAATGGGGACAGGCTTTGAAATTTACAGTTGTATACCATGTCTTGTTTTTTTTTTTTTCTCTCTGTTTCCAATTTGCAGATAACGTGATCAGCCAACTTCTTGTTCCTGCTGCCAATGCTTGTCTGTTGCTCATCCCAAACATGATGGACTGAATGTATTCCCCCTAGAACTGTAAGCTAAAATAAGCCCTTTTCTCCCCTATGTTACTTTTGGGTCATGGTATTTTATCACAGCAACAGAAAAATAACAGATATGATAACCATAGAGAAAACATGATTTTAGTTATTAAAAATAGAAACTTCAGGTCTTCATAAATCTTTATGGGACACTTTTTTTGTGATTACTTTTGATTCTTTATCTTGCTTTTATTTTTTATTCTCTACTTTTACAATGGTATGGAAAAATCATTTTCTAGCTTGAATTCTTTCTTTGATCTTGTTCAAAGCTCTGTTCGTCTTGTTAAAAGCATTCTTTCTAGCCAGATGTAGTGGCATGCTTGTTATTTCAGCATTTAAGAAGCAGAGACAGGTAGGGTGGGTCTCTGTAAGTTCAAGGCCAGCCTGGTTGTGTTCTAGACTAGCCAAGGCCACATAGTGAGACACTGATTCAAAAAACAAAATTCTTAAATTTCTCACTTTACAAGGAACATGTAAAAGACAAAGGAAGTATGTACTTGGTCTTCAACTTGGATACTGAAAACCAAATCGGCCGGACGTTGGTGGCACAGCTGGGGGTGTTGGTGGCGCACGCCTTTAATCCCAGCACTCGGGAGGCAGAGGCAGGTGAATCTGTGAGTTCGAGGCCAGCCTGGTCTCCAGAGAGAGTGCCAGAATAGGCTCCAAAGCTACACAGAGAAACCCTGTCTCGAAAAAAACAAAACAAAACCAAATCAAAACCAATATTAGCAAGAACCCCAAGGTAGAAAAATACTTTTAGAACCTTAGAGAGATACAAAGGACATTTTCTGATGCATTACTTACTAGAAATATATGTCACAACACAGTAGTCTCTTAAAACAAGAACACAATATTTAAACTATTCCATACTTCCTAAACCCTGTCACAAAGTAAAGAGACCCAGGATTTTCCAGTCCTTTGCAGACACTATTTACTTGGCAGATTTCAGTGACTTCTATGGGCCATTCCACACTTGCCAAATCTCTTTCCACATCAACTGTGCCTCATATGTTCAGAAAAAGTTACAATAGCCAAGTTTTTAATTGTTTCTGTTGCTTTTAGACAGAGTTTCATATATCCCAGGCTGGCCTTGAACTCTACATGTAGCTGAGATTGGCCTTGAACTTCTGATCCTCCTGCCTGTTCCTCCCAAGTGCTGGGATCACAGCCATGTTCTATTACCCAGCTTAAGAAGAGTATCTTAAATTTTTAATTGCCCAAACATTTTTAAATCTCGTAAATTATATAGTTAAGAAGCTCTTAAGTAACTACAACAAAGTATTTCTAAGCCATAAGATTTTATAGCTTTGTGTTTGAAATGTTTGGTATTTATTTTTTCTATCCATTCTCTATTTCTCTGTGTGACAGGGCTGGACAAACTCACTATATATACAGCTCAGGATGGCTGTGAACTAACATCAATCCTCCTGCCTCAGTCTGTCAAGCCTTAGGACCACAGGTATAAGACACCATACTCCTGCTCTCCATTCTCTTACACATTCCCTTGCTCAAGTATTTTACTATAGCTATTTCTTTTAAGACCTTGCCATGTGAATCTATTTCTCTTATTATAGCAGTATTCAATTTTCTTTGTGTAAGAGTTGGGAAATTAGCACTAAGAACATTAAAAAAAGAAAAGAAAAACAAACAAAAGATCCTAAGTCTCAACTCTGAGGCATGATTGAATATTGTGCCTGTTCTGACTTTAGTTATTAGATACCCATGGGGAAATGATAGGAGCTTATAGAAAAACAAACAAAAAACCTCCAATTAGAGAACAATACATATATAAAAGACCCCTAACACCCAACTAAGTGGTTTCATCTTCCCACATTCCATGTCATGCCTCACCAGTGGCAACAGATCCTACAAGTTACATAGAATTGGTGGTTTTCCCCCCACTTAGCACAACCAAGTCTCTCTCTATTATTAAAACTATCTGTGTATGAACATAAATCATTCACAAATACAACTAATGTGTTTCTTCTTACAAGAACTCTTCCCTTTCCTGAGTTATCCTTTCTTCAAAAAAAATTTATCATTTTTAACTGGGGTGTGTGTGTGAGTGCACATGAGTGCAGGTAAATGAAAAGGCCATAAGAAAAGCACTGACTCCATTGGAGCTGGAGTTACAGATGGTTGTAGGCTACCACACAGGTGCTGGAAACCAAACTCTTGTCCTCTGCAAGAACAGCAAGTACTCAAGACTTACAGAGCTGTCTCTTCAGCCCCTGAGTTATTCTTCCCGAGACCACATTTGTTGTTATCTGTCTGGGTCTGTGGAGATGCTCAAGCTGCACAGGTAGAAGAAGCTGACCTTGAACTGTTCTTGTTGACTCTATTTCCCCAGTGCTGGGATTAAAAGTATGTACCATCATATGCCACTAGTTGCTAAGACCTCAAACAAGTGATATTTCCTTATTTAGGTCTTAGTCTTACATTTCAATCTGGTTTTAAAAGCCTCATTGTTCAATTCTTCTTTGAACAGAGCTTTGAACTCCTGATCCCCTTGTTGCTTCTCATGAATGTTGGGATTATAGGCATGCACCACCATAACTACCTTTCAATGAACAATTTTTTTTTTCCCAAAAAAGATCAATAAGGGAACTGGGGAAATAGCTCAGCAGGAAAAATGCTTGTGGCACAAACATGAGGACATAAGTTTGGATCCCCAGCATTCCTGTAAAAAGCTAGGTGTGGTGGTGTATACTTGTAATCCCAGTGTCCAGAGGCAGAGACAGAAGAAATCTTAGGACTCACTGGCCAACCATTCTAGCCAATCACCAGCTTCAGATTCACTGAGAGATTGATAGAGGAATGTGAGAGTACATTCCTGCGGGGCTACACCTGGTCTGGCTCCAGAGTGCTAGCACCTAGCCCTAATCCATCTTTTGTTTAGCAGATACCTGTTGTTTCCCTTGCTGCCCTAAAATGTGAATCTTGCCTGATAGTTTCCCAAGGATACTAAGCCTATGCAAAACTTGGTTTTGCCAATGAGAATTTGCACTTGGCATTGTTCCTTTGGAAACTTTGGTTGTTTTTGAGGATATGGAAATCAACTTGTGAAGGTGTAAATTGAAGAACAACAAAGGAAACCCTGGGTGAAGGAAAAGTTGTTCAGTCTTTAGGGCCTCATCCACCCTGCAGCCAAGAAAGGCTAAAAGTCATTCTTCCAGTGTGAATACAACACCCATACCGCAACAGAGGAAGATACACAATATTGACATTAGCCTCCAAATGCATAGGTGTATGTGAATGTGTATCTTCCGACCAAATCAATGACAATCAGTACTAGTATTAGGGATTATAACTTTAAATTTTTTATTATGTTTATTTATTTATTGTTAGAGGGAGGTACACATGTGTCACTGCACACATGTGGAGGTCAGAGGACAACTTGTGGGAGTTTGTGCTCTTCATTTACCATGTGGGTCCTGGGAATTTAACTCTGGTTCCAAGGCATGGTAGCAACTGCCTTTATCAACAGAGCCACCTCACAGGCCCCATAAGATATTTTTCGTACAATGCATCTTGACTTGAATATTATGGTAAAGAAATTGTGGCCTGCCTAGAAACCTTGATATAGTATCTTCTTGTCTTACCAAATTTTTTAAACTGCATCTTAAATCTTTATTGTTTGTCTTGCCAATTTTAATATGACTTTCCAGAATGAGACACACAAACAGCAGCAAGGGTATGTCAGCAAAGTCAGTGGAGGCAAGAGGGCAGGGAAGAACTCCACACAAGCAGCAGAGACAATGAAGGACAGTAGGATGAAAATACAGAGACCCACACAGGGCAGAAAGGAAGAGGGAGGGAAAGACTACAGATCCTTGAGGGTTTAAGAGGATTTAGGAGCTATAATCCTGGCTGGCTCTGATTGTTGCTGCTTAGAGCAGAGGACTGCACTAAGACTTGAGGGTCAGGCCCTTGGCTTAGAACCCAGAGATACAGACTCTAACTTGAGCTACAGACTCTAACTTGAGCTATAAATCTCTGGCTGCTAAGATCTGGAACCCCTGGTTCTCTTGAGTATGTTGGGCCTTTGTCAACACTAGAAGAACCACCCTGTTCCTAGCCCAGAGAGAGAGAGAGTGACTGCCTTCTACCTTTGCCTACCTGTCTATTGAAATCCTCTTCATTCTCCATCCACATGTATTCTGCAAATGGGTTTTCCTTTTCCTCATGTCCATGTAACTCTTGGTCCTCTTTGCATTTCACACTGGGTGATGTACTTGCCACACTGGATCCATTCATTATGGAGATTCTAAACAGAATGAAGGCAAAAAGTAAAGATAAGGACTGAGGAAATTTGAATGTAAAATATCCAGATCCTTCCAACAGCTTCTCAAGTTGTAGGCCAATGACTTTAATGAAAATGAACACAATTGCTAGTTTGTGTTACATCAATCACATATAATTACCAACTATACAGATGTATAATTCTTTAAGAATTGAGGAGTGGGGCATGGTGCTGTGGTGGTTTGAAAAAAATGCCCTCCAAAGGGAGTGGCACTTTTAGGAGGTATGGCCTTTTTGGAGGAAGTGTGTCACTGTGGAGGCAGGCTTTGAGGTCTCACATATGTTCAAGCCACTTCCTATTGCCTGCAAGTCAAGATGAATTAACTCTCAGCTTCTGCTCTAGCACCATGTCTGCCTGCTTGCTGCCATGTCCCACCATGATGATAATGGACTAAACCTCTGAAAATGTAAGTCACCCAATTAAATGTTTTCCTTTGTAAAAGTTGCCATGGTCATGGTGTCTTTTCATTGCTATAGAAACCCTAAGGCAGGTGGCTCACACCTGTCATTTCAGGACTCAGAGGTCAAAGCAGGAAGACTATTCCAAGTTTCTTTAAAAAAATGTTTAAGCTTACTCTTTCCAAACGAAAACCAAAGGATATGGTAGTAGTAGAATTTTCCTACGCCAAATTCATAAATGTTCTAGAACCTACTGCAGATCAATTTAAATGCATTCTTTTCAAAATATCTACTTATGCATATTTTCATTTATCTATGTGTGTCTATGAATATACGCCATGTGTGAGGATGCTCAGAAGCCAGAAAGGCCAACAGATCACCTGGAGCTAAAGTTATAGGTAGTTGTGAACTGCCTGATATCTGAGCTAGGAACTCAACCAAACTAGGGTCCTCTGCAGCAGGTACTTCTAACAGTTGAGCCATCTTCCCAGCACTCTAGAAATGCATTGTTATAAACAGTGTAAGCAATTCTTCTTTATTCTGAATATCAAGTTCTGTCTCTAAAATGTATTTCAAAAATAAAACAATTCATGAGAGGTGAGGTTGGAGGGTTTACTATAATTTAAGACCTGGGCTATGTAGCCACCTTGTTTGTTTGTTTGGTTTTGGTTTTTTGAGATAGAGTTTCTCTGTAGCTTTGTTATCTGTCCTGGAACTTGCTCTGTAGACCAGGCTGGCCTCAAACTCACAGAGATCTGCCTGGCTCTGTCTCCCCAGTGCTGGGATTAAAGGTGTGCACCACCTGGCACACACCTTTAATCCCAGCATTTGGGAGGCAAAGGCAGTCGGATCCCTGAGAGTTCAAGGCCAGCCTGGTCTACAGAGCAAGTTTCAGGATAGCCAAGGCTATACACAGAGAAACCCTGTCTCAAAAAAAACCAAAACAAAACAAAAGTGTGCACCACCACCACCCAGCCAGACTTTGTGTTTGTTTTAAATCACTGTATTGCTAAGCAAAAAAGAGAAAGAAGTTCACCAGCTGTTCAACCAATCTACAGTCAGTAAGTGCCAGTGCGTGCACACCTTTGATACCAGTACTTGGGAGCAGAGGTAGGGGGATTTCTTCGATTTCAAGGCCAGCCTAGATTACAGAATGAGTCTACCAACAGCCAGAGATACATAGGGAAACCCTGAATCCCAGCCCATGAGATAGTGTTGTGCACATTCAGGGTGGATCTTCCCACCTCACTTAGCCCAATTTAGAGACTCCTTCACTGGCATGCTCAGAAGTTGGTCTCCTAGATGAGCAACCTAGCAATTGATATGATCCATCACAGCTTTTAAATTCAATTTTGTACTTTTGCTATCATTTAGAATGTCTTCTTTCTAATCTTTACTCCTCCCTTCCTCTAAGCTGCTGTGCCTGAACAGCACACTGTTAATTGTATTCTTTGTCTTAGTTCATGTACATAAATTTTCTTCTTCCAATTAGATTCTCTACCTTTGAAAAACAAGGCTGTTGAGGCTCAGCAGTTAAGAGCACTTGTTACTCTTTCAGAAGACCTGGGTTCAATTCCCAGCACCATCACAGTGGCTTACAACTATCTGTTAACTCAAGTTCCATGGGATCTGACACCCTATTCTGGCCTCTATGGGCACACCTGTGGTGCTCAAACATGCAAAACACCCATGCACATAAAAATAAATATTTAAAAAAGGAAACAAAGCCAAGGTCTACGCATGCTGCCATTCATTTGCCAAGTGGTTTAGTCCTACTCTCTCATCTACTCTATTCTACCCTACTAGCTGCTGGGACTTAACAAATTAATTTTCTCTTGTTGCTATCTAGGCAACACACCTGAAAGTTATCCATGCTTTTGAAGGAACCAGCTTCCCTTTCGGCAGCCATAACAGCCGAACATGTACTTGCCATAAACCTGCCTTGGTCACTTAGAGGTCAGATGCCTGTCTCGTGACAAGGAACCTTAGTCACTAGAAAGTCAGATGCCTGTCTCGTGACAAGGAACCTTAGTCACTAGAAAGTCAGATGCCTGTCTCGTGACAAGGAACCTTAGTCACTAGAAAGTCAGATGCCTGTCTCGTGACAAGGAACCTTAGTCACTAGAAAGTCAGATGCCTGTCTCGTGACAAGGAACCAATCGGAAGTTAGCTGGTGGCGCTATGCTTTACGACCCTGGGTGTGCTTTACGGACAAGCGTACAGCAATGACGTAGAGAGCATAGCAACCACCCTGGGAGGGCCTATGGGCCATAACAACCAGTTGACCAATCAACACAGGGCAAGCCCTCCAAGGCTGGAGGCACACCAATCGTAAGCATGTGCGTACCCCTAGACACTCCCCTTAAGCTGCCCTATAAGATCTTTTGGGAGCCCCTAGGAGCCGTCTTTTCTAGCCATCCGCCTTGGCGGGTGGATGAAAGACCCGAGCTAACTTGGGGTTAGCTCGTTAAATTACAATAAAGCCTCGTGCAGTTTGCAGCAAGCTCTCGAATCCACCTGGTAATTGGGGTGACCGCGAATGTGGCCTGGGACCCCGGATACTTGAGTTTTTGGGGGTCTAACACTTTGAGTACACACACATGTATACACACACACACACACACACACACACACACACACACACACACACCTCTTGCTTAGTCACCTTTAAAGTATCTGTAACTTCCTAATTTGTTATTAACTTTTAAAAATCTAATTTTGTAAAACAAACAAACATGTTAGGATGTTGAAGAATAAATAAATGGAAAAGCCAGGTGTGGTAGCAAAGGCCTTTAATCTTAGAACTTGGGAGGTGGGCAGGAGGATCAGCAGTTCAAGGTCATCTTCAGATATATCAAAAACTGGAGGTCATCCAGGGATAATCTGTCACAAACAAACAAATGTACTGGGAATTTATCTCAGTGCATACCAGGTCTTGGGTACAATCTCTACTACTATAAGGACAGTTTTTAAATAGAAGTTTAAGTAGGGCGCCAAATAAGCAATACATATGTTTAGCATACTGTAGACAGAGACAGAAGAAAATCAAGGTCTAGTCCCAATACAGACTCAGAATTACACAGGGTCCCTCTTCCCCATAAGGGGAATCCAGCTCACTACTGCTGACACTTCTATGTGCAGTAAGAGGACAGAAGCCTGCTTTGAATGCCAATGCACCTGAAAAATAAAGTGGCATTCCTATACACAGAGGGACTAGACCTTTCTGTACAGCAGGTTGAGCTGCACTGTCATTTCCTGTCAGAAGCCAGCCTTGGCGACCCCCCATGCCTAGCTAGCAGCCAGCTAGTCTAGCATCCCACCCCTCAGGTTCCAGGACCTGGCCTGAGAAGCAATTAACACCTATTCCTTCCCCCACTTCCTTAGGTAGTGCTTGGGGTAAACACAGGAGATTCTGGGTACCTGACCTGGCCTGAGAGCAATTAACATTCATTCCTCCCCCCACCACCTCTTTCTCTGCTTCCTTCTTTCTCTTTAAAAACCCCTTGTAATAATCAATAAAGTCAGACCTTGACAAAGACCTTGCTTGGTCTCCTCCTTCTTTCTCGCCCATTATTTTCAGGCTTGATCCACCTCGGACTCACGAATTACCGGGGCCCCTCGGGCCGGGGCAATTTCCAAGGCCTTAGCTAGTAGCTCTTTACATCAGGCAGTTATTTCTGCCCACCAATATAGAAACCACCCAGAAAAGCAGAGCTTAGTTTTCTAAAAAAAAAAAAAAAAAAAAAAAATCTACTTTTGAGCTGGATGGTGGTGGAACATGCCTTTAATCCCAGCACTTGGGAGGCAGAGGCAGGCAGATCTCTGTGAGTTCAATCCCAGCCTGGTCTACAAGAACTAGTTCCAGGACAGCCTCCAAAGCCACAAAGAAACCCTATCTTGACCCCCCCACTTCCTCCCCCCCCAAATCTGCCTTTGTCCAAAATAAATAAGTAAATTGTGTACAAATGGTTGCATGGATAAAAAGGTATCAAAAAAAAACAACTTTAGTGTAGAGCATGGTAGAGAACAGTAAATTCCATGACACACCTGTTCATGAAAGTGGAAACCGAGCACATCAGTGCATTGGCTTTTGATTTTATGACACACCCATTTTGAATCTCATCCATGGTTTCTGGCTCAGAACCATAGCCTTTTGGTTCAGTTTGGCTTCAAAACAGTGTTCTGTTAAAACCTCTAGCTCACTCATGAATGGTATGAGAAGTCTCATTCCTTTCTCTCCAAGCCCCATCCACTCAGAGAATCTACAAACAAAGGGAAGGCACTGAAAAATCCAGTTCCTCCCCTGAAGCGGTTAGCCATCGAAAGCTGACAGCTTTTGACTGTATTTGAGCACAACACAGCTTGTGGCTGACACATCATCACCCCTCACCTACAACCTATATAATTTCCCTGCTTTAGTTCAGGCACACAGCTTCTCCAGCTGTCTTTGGGACTGGAGAAACCATCTGGGAATTGCTTTGCTCAAATAAACATGTTGTTAAACCTTTTCTATTTGGCTTGATCTGGTTTATTGCACAGACTGAGACATCTATTATGGGGGTGGGG